TCTGGTGGCAACATTCTTCCATTACAAATAGCACTGTCTGGCGTACAGAGGTTTCACATCTCTCTTCTGAAATGCTTTGCCATTTCGTAACCAAAGCACTTAAATCTGTGAAAATAAAAAGGCCTCGACATCAGGTGACATTCTTCCATTACAAATAGCAATGTCTGGCCTAGAGAAGTTTCACATCTCTCTTGTGAAATGCTTTGGCATCTTGTAACCAAAGTACTTAAAGCTGTGAAAATAAAAAGCCTCGATATCAGGTAACATATTTACATTACAATTGGCAATGTCTGGCATAGGAAAGTTTCACATCTCTCTTGTGAAATGCTTTGGAATTTCTTACCAACGTATGAAAATAAAAAGGTCTCGACATCAGGTGGCAACATTCTTACATTACATTTAGGTCTGTCTGTCCTAGAGAAGTTTCACATCTCTCTTGTGAAATACTTTGGCATCTCGTAACCAAAGCACTTGAGAAGCAGGATTGGTGCTCATATTGCACACCATGTTGTTGATCATTTGGTCAGTAAGAGAACTACATATCTGTGACTGCTCCTCCATTTTAAGTCACATACAGTTTTGGCATCATTCAGTTGGCACAGAGAACCTAAAGTCTTACAGAGTATTGTTTGTTTTCTTTAAATTAATATCTGTGATTATCGTTAAATTGCATGTATACTTAGTTATATTATTCTACAAAAATATCAGTAATAAAGGTATTCCTGGATTTCCTGTATGGATTTGTACCTGCACACATGTCATACTTATGAAACATGTGCTTTGCAGTATTTGTGAGAGTAAACATTAATATTTAAAAACAACTGTTGCTGTGCTATGGCTTTCTTTAGGAAAAGATAATTTGATTGAGATTTTAATGATGCTCAACATGCAAACGCGCCTGATTCTTTCCATAATCTGGTGCTAAGGAAGAGCATACACTCCCATTATACTGTTTTTTATTTGAGTTGTTTTCATGTGCTTCATGTATTTGCCAGTAAAGTGGAACAATTTAATCAAAGCAAGGAAATTTGCTTTGAGTTCGTTACTGCCACTAAAGTTTGTATATAATCTGTTAATAAAGACTGATACCACCAATAAGTTATGTGGATGCACATCTAGTTTTGCGATTAAACATGTAACTAACTATACACAAAATAAAGAATAGCTCATTACACGAAGAATTGGTAATAAAAAGGAGTGTGATGGTTAGTAAGTTTTTCACTAATCCCCATGATAATTGAGGCTGCAAGTACCTCTGAAATGTTGGTAAAATAAGACTGCCAGAAATTACAAAGGATTTTCTATCTACTCAGCTGTAAAGCTTGATATTATTATTAAGTGATAAGTAACATAATTGCTGAAAAGAAACTTTCTTTCAGAGACTGTTTACATCGTTGTAGAAGACCTCTATTTCATGTAGTTGCCATTGGAAGGTTTGCCTTTTTTATTTGAGTTGTTCGTACTTGCAATGCCAAGCATTCTGAATAAGAGTTTCAGAACTGACTATGGCTGTACATTAAAAAAGTCTGTGTGTACTGTTTCACAAAGTTTTAGAATTTTAAACTTTACACTGTGGTGTGTAGTTTCTAAACTAGTTAACTGGTGTAAATTAATTGGAATTGTAGTAATCTGCGTTATGACAGTTTGTAGTCCTGTTTGTGGTTACCAAGGTTTTGCAGAAACCTATGACCTCCATCTTAAATCCTGACTACATAACTTAATACCGTGGAAGACTGTGGCCCACATTTACACTGTTATGAAAGCCTCATCTCATGTTGATTTAAATTACGTCTGGAATAAATATTTGTTGAATAACTGCAAATCATGGAGAAGTGAAATATGTAATTTTCTCCAGCCTGCTATCATTTCTTTGGCGTTCAATTCAAACATTCCCTTCATCGCCCAATTCTCGAACACTCCGAGTATTGCTCTTCCCTTAATGGAAAGGACCGAGTTCAAATGTATGTATTATACATTTTATATTAGGCACTGAGTGTGGAGTCTCCCAAATGCTTGAACTATCAGAATTCAGGTGGATGCACGTGGCATGCCTGGCAGATAAACCAGAGTGTGTGAAGACTCTCCTGGTTGCTGGAGCAGATGTGAATATTGCTGCCTCTCAAGCAAGTGTACGTTCCCCCTCATCATCGACTGTGTCCCCGGGATTTGTGGGAGATTTCCTGCATGGAAATTCCAACAAATTGCATACTCAGGTACGTTTAGTTTGCACAGTTTTATGATGTTTCTCTCAAACAAAGATTATACAGTGACACATCTTGGAAGAACCAACTTTCACGTTATAATGAAGTATGGAATAATTTTTGGGGTAATTCATCAAACAGTAAGAAGATATTCACTCTACAAAAGAAAATTATTAGATTATTGGCTGGTGTAAAACCTAGAAATTCATGTAGAAATCTATTTAAGAAATTAGAGATCTTAGCTCTCGTTAATGAACTTTATTGTAAATATGCAAGAACTCTTTCAAACTAATTCTGCTGTACACAGTGTCAACACAAGGAATAAAAATCAGCTTCAGAGATCAATTGCCAATCTCTCATGCTTTCAGAAGAGTGCATATTATGCAGGAATCAAAATTGTCAACAGTCTACCATCAAATCTCACAAGTCTTGTAAATAAGAAGGAGCAATTTAAGGTAGCATTAAAAAGACTCTTAATTACACACTCCTTTTACTCTGTCAATGAATTTATATTGTTTACAAATAAGTGATAATTTTTTCTTGTGTGTAATGGGTAGATCTAGTTGTAGTTTATCATTTCTTTAGGTGAATACTTTGTTTTGTATTATGTAAAATTAGTTTGAATACTCATACATATTTATTTCTTCTGTATTTGATGTCTTAACACTTTTTATACTGTATTTTATATAAAAAAGCCTTTACCTGTTAGTATATTTCCTTGTATGGCAAGGAAAGCAAGGATTGCAGCCTATATACAGCATTGTCTGAAGTGAGGATCATATTTAGAAGATTATCTCTTGATGTACCATAAATTAACCAATGACACAAACTTCAGAAGGGCCATATTCTATAATTTGTTATTTTGAATAGTAACTTATAATTTCTATCCCTCATTATGCAAACTCTAATATTTAACAGATCTTGAAAACATAAACCATTTAAAACTTTCATACATCCTCTAATTAAAGAAAAGTTAACACTGTTAAATATTCATACTTGTAATTGAGATCTGCTCCAAATAAAATAAGGGCCTGAACAATAGCAACACTGCCTTGTTTGACCTCCAGGTGGAGTGGTGCATTGCCTTCATGATCACTGATGTTGGTATATGCTTTATGACTCTGCAGTTCTGTAACACACTCTAAACGATGCCTCAGTACCATGACGTGAAGTGCTGTACGTCCACCAAAATTGAATAGATTTATATCATGTCCCTTACTTATAAGAGTTTCAGTTGCCTCTCTTGTGGATGCCACAAAATTTCGTATCCTGAAAAATGTGGCTATAAACATTACTTTAAATCTGATCAGCCTTACAGGCTTGTACCTTATTAAATATTAACCATATTGAAAAATATTCCAAATACATTATAAACCTACACTGCATTTTATGTCATGCAAAATTTTTTTTAGATGACCCATTTTTGAGTAGTCTGATGACAAAGTTTGATTTGACCTTCAACATACAGTTCTCTTGAAACCTCTGTACCTTTACTAAGTTCCCCCCCTCCTTCAACCAGCCCATTAACCCAACCACTTAACTGTTCTTTTCCAAAGTTTAAAAATCTGGAAAAACAGCATGAACTTCAATGTATGTTCTCAGTGCTTTGATGTCGTATAAATACAGGCATACCTCGTTTTATTGTTTTTCGCAGATATTGCATTTTTTTACAAATTGAAGGTTTGTGGCAACCCTGCGTCGAGCAAGTCTATCGGCGCCATTTTTCCAACAGCATGTGCTCACTTCGTGTCTCTGTGTCACATTTTGGTAATTTTTGCATTGTTTTTTTGGACATAATGCTGCTGCACACTTAATAGACTGCAATATGTTGTAAACATAACTTTTATATGCACAGGGAAACCAAAACATTGGTGTGACTCGCTTTATTGTGGTGGTCTGGAACCAAACCCACAATATCTCCGAGCTATGGCTGTATATTATTAAATTATTTTAAGCTGTCTTGGTGATTTATTGATATTGTCATAATTTTGGGTGTTGACACTGTATAAGTGTGCGTGTGTAAGATGCTGACATTTCAGTTTGCTATGCTTTGCATTACATTTTACTAAAATTTGGCAGTATATATATTGTAGATGCCTTTGTAATGACTGTGACAGCAGAGAGGGAAATACAGTAACTTCTTTAAACATCCAATAGATGTCAGCCAACTTCAAGTTTTAAATTTATTTATTTTTATCACAAACATCCACATCTCCTATTTATAGTACGAGTTTAAGCACTAGATGTCACACCATTTCAGATTTGCGAGTTGCACGAGCTCTAATTTGATTTTTTTGGATGGAAGTATTCATGCACATTGCGAAAAAGGAAGTTTATGAAAGTCACATGGTTTGCACTTGGGCGACAGGAGAAGAAATATCAGCCTCAAAATAAGTAAACATATGATTCATTGATAGGACTTGGAATAGCGGAATGAAAAACAGCAATGGTGAAGGTAAGCTGTTAATAAATATAGAAGAAGTGTCTGAATTGTTAATTTTTTCGAGGTTAGAAGTTTGAATTTATTCTGAATCAGGTTTTCAGTTCCATACAGTTCAGACAGACGAGAGAATGACCACCCCCCCCCCCCCCCCCCCCGAAGTCAAGTCATTTGTTTACTGACAAATTGGTTGACGACGACAGGGAATCAGAAATTTTTATAGTAGATGTTGTGGATTGGCTGTTTAGATTCTGTTTTATTATAACAATGATTATACTATTTACATGGATTTTAATGCCCAAAATATGTGATCATCCATTTTAATTTTTTACTAATGTATAATAGAAAAAGAAGGCCAAAGAAGCCCTTCAGCAGAAGTTGGAAAAGGGGTAATATTCTGTTACTGAAATCACATTTTGATTATCAAATTGAAGGATGCTGGAGATGTCATCAGGCTGAAATGGCAGAGGGTGAAGGTCACAGAAGTCATGAAACATCTAAACCAACTGCTGTCCTGACTGGCTTAAGCATTATAGTTACAATAGCAGTGAATATAATGGTACCTGTGATAACCTGGAATCTGGTTCATGAAGCATTGGTTCCCTTAAGTGTCCAACTCCAACCCCTCAATCTCCCCAGCGCAGTCTGTTCACCATCACTGCCTCCACTTCACCATAGCTGACTTGGGAGTTTGGACACAACAGAATCTGGAGTAGCGTAACGCCTGAACATAAGGACAATTTGTTCTGTGTCAAAGATTTTGTGAACATGTTTATGTTAAAAGCAGAATTACAGTGTATAAAGAATTCAAAACAATAATAATATGATTCTTAAACAATAAACTTTAATTAAAATGTTGAGTTACTAATCACAAATTCAATCAGATAAAAATATTTTATATTTGGACATGTTAGTCCAAATGCATATTTAAAGAATGTGAAAGATTGGAAGCTTCCTTTAAATGAAGCTGGAATATATACACAACAATTTAACCCAGAATTTATTGCATCTGGTCGAGGGACTCATTCTTGACTGAGTTCTGGTTTTCCTTACTTGTTGATGCAAATTCTGGAGTAATACTTTAAGTAAACACTGCCACTAACTTTATCGAAACTTCTCAACAATAAATTATTATTCCAACCTCTTTGTTTTCTCAATAATAAATGAAACATGTGAGAAGTGAAACAATAGGAGAAAAACATTCAATCTTACATAACTTATAATTGTTATTTCAACCCTACTTGAGTATAAATGCTACATTTTTGTTGGTATTTCCACCTATAACCATGGAAACAATAATAGTTGTTAGCATTGCAGCAAATGTGATTGTTTCCTCATATTGAGTTTAAAAGTAAAAAATACCTGTTTGAGAGTATCCAGGGTGTTTGTTTGTTGAATTGTCCAGACTCCTTGTGATATGTTTGAGTATTGTTTGTCCAGTTGTCTTGGCGGTGATACCTCTCTTGACGCTGTTGCTTCCAGTAGTTATCGTTGCGTTCATTTGAAGTACCACCCAAATCACTTACATATCCTGATGCTACATGCCCCGCCCATCTCATTCTTCTTGACTTAATCACCCTGACAATACTGGGGGAGGAGTACAGATTTTTAAGCTCATCATCATGCAGTTTTCTCCATGCCCCATCGTCTTCTCTCTTAGGCCCAAATATCCTCCTCAACACCCGATTCTCAAACACCTGCAATCTATGTTCCTCCCTCAGAGTGAGAAACCATATTTTGCACCAGTACAGAACATGCAAAATTATTGTTTTTGTATATTTTAATCTACAGCCTCTTAGAAATCAGACGGGAAGACCAAATATTTTGAACTGAGAAGTAGCAAGCATTTCTATGGACCCAGCTGCTAGAATCGGTTAGTACACGACTTAATCTGTTACTCCCTTAATGTTAAGTGGTAACTGTATGTAACACCTGCTTTAGGATTCAGTAACTCTGTATTTTACTCACAGTGTGTACGGGGTTCGCCAGTTCCCTAGAATAAAAAGCAATTATTTCCTTAAACAGCATTAATTAATTGAAATTTGTAATGGAGAGACGTCATGTTTTCTTTTGGTACGGACTGATGTAGTGGCAAGATTATTTGGTGTAATAATGTAACACAATAGGTTATCAGTTGACACAAATTGTGTTTTGAATTTAATTGGGGGCATGTTTTGACTATAATATAGTACAGTACAAGGCAGCATAACCTAATATTTTTGCTTCTGTAAGAACAGCAGATGGTTAAATCTAGCTCGTCGCTACGTCTCCAGGCAACTTTATCACCTTGCCACAGAAGACTAACTTTAATCTACCAAACGTGTCACTGCAGGATACCTGTCTTACAAATTGAGTCAATTTGTTCCCAGTATTATGTTCTTAGTAGCCCCTGCCCATTTGTTCCTTCACAGGGATTGTAGTGCAGTATCTCAGTGTAGGCATCATAATTAAGTCTACTACTGTACATTCACCAAAATCTGCTGTTGTGACTCAAGATATTTTGTAAGAACTTCTTGTCTCTCCACCCAAGCTGTAATTCCTGCTCATTGCAACTCTTAATTTTACTATCTTAACAACAGTAGAGACCTGTGCAAAGTCACGAAGTTGATCTCGAATTCATTGTCCCCCCCTGGAATATGGAGTTTTCGTTCTATTATAATATTATAATTTGCGTCGTAATATCTGTTCTGTTATGAGAAGCGTTACCTGGAAATGTGCTCACAAGTAGAGTTTAGAAAAAACCCTAAGTTAACAGAATATGAGAGTGTAGTTGAATCTGTGACAGCCTCAGGTCTAAATATTAGAAGCGACATACAGAATTAAATTTCCCTCAAAAACATGTAAATCTTCAGTTGGTGTTCATGCGGCATGATGTATTAAGTCTTAATACAGAGTCTAAACATCCCCTGCCTTTTTTGGGGTGGAACTGAATTCATGTGCTGAGGATATGGTCCAGTGGCTGACTTAAGAACAAAATAAAGAATCTTCAGGTTTCATAAAAGCAAAGCATTTTTATTAGCTGTGCTTATATTAGTTTCTCAGGAGTTAGTTATATATAGTCCAAATTAGAAACAAACATAAGTGCTTGAATTATTACCCATTCAAATGGCAAGAATTCATTAATGAACCAAAATGTTTCACTGTTTTGTGTCCTTGAATATATTGAAGTGAACAAAGACAGAAACAGCAGAAATAAAATTTCTGAAATTTATTTAAGGCCTGTAACAACAAACATTGCAGGGTTAAATGGAAAATTTTAATATGGAGTAGCAAGACATTTAAATGAAAGACTCTCACATAATCTGCAATGAACTGAAGTAAGATAACTCAAAGAATTTATGACTATAGGCCTGCAAGTCATTTGTTCACAGAGTTGAAGGTTGCTTCTGAATCACAAGGTGCCCAAGAACTAATTCCTGGTTGATGATTATGAGGAAAAGAAATTAGATGAAGATAACGCAGCATGTACAGAATCAATTTTCATTGCCTTCAAATTCTTTTGCTCCAAAGTCCCATTATTATTGACTCTTGATTGCAAACATTAGTTTTTATTTAATACAAGAGCAGGTGTCCTTTCTTCATTCCCTTCTTTCTTACTTTCTTCATTCCTTTCTTTCTTGTTTCCTTCTTCCCATGCCTTATTCCAGACCCTGATTTTTGAAGGAGACAGTGCTGTTGCAGTGTAATTACAAAGGTTGCATGCAGTCAGACTGTCAACTGGCACGTAGTCTGTTCATGCACAACATACGCATTGGCAGCACTGCATTTTCGTACTAAGCACTTGAAAGAGGAGCAGCCCACAAGAATTTAACAGGTTGTGAGGGGCTGCCTTCTGTTTCTGCAACCAGAGGAGGTGCCATGCAGTGGTAAAAGATGACTTAATCAATTGGTATTGGTAATGTAAATTGCATTAAGCTAATTCAGGTTCAGGTACACTGTTGGACTTTACACATAATGATGACAGATGTTTAATTTTCAGGGGCCTAGTCTGCATTTTAAAACAAAAATACACTTTTATAATCATGTGTTAATAAGACGTCGTTTTATATCTTTTAAAGACGATATTAATTAAGTTCCACCATATCTGAAATTACTTGCTAATTTTTGACCTTTGTTATTGGTATTGCAGGCTTGTTCTTACATAGCTCCAGTCCTGATGTCTAATGGATCGTAATGAAAAGGAAATTCTCAGCAGTGTTGAAGTTCGCGATGTGATGAGTGATATTTCTGCTCCAGTTTTCAGATGTTGTCCCTTTGTAATTCAACTTATAATATTAATAGTTTATTTGAATCTCCGCAATAAATGTTGTTTTGTTATTTACCAGTGAAACATACACATGAGTATAAACATTTTTGATAAACGCTACATATTGGCCCATTTTTATCATTTTTAAGTTCTTCCAAATTACGTAAGAAAACTAACGCAGTTAGAACTCCATTCTTCACAGTCTGTGTCCAGATTAAGACGCAAAACATTCAGAAACAGCTCCTTTACAATTTTCCATCCACCTAAACTGTCAGCAAATTACTGTCAAAACCTCAAGTCTTACAAATTACTGTAATTGACGTAACATGCTTTGTTTTCCATGGCACCATGCTTTGGCCTTCTCAGGAATAGAACGGAAATGGGTGGAAATCCTGGAAACAAAACTAAAATGTTAAGGAAATTGTTCTTCACAAGGAATAGTTGCTGATATGTATCTTGGTGTTGAGGCAGGTTACGCCAATCATAAGTAGCAAAGTGATGATGCAGAGAGGCAGACAAAATGGTTGGTTGAATAACTGAAAACAAACTGCAGCTGACACTCAGGAACATGTGAGTTAATACAAAATATGAATGCACAGTGGCCACTTCTCATAATAAACAATGTTTGCTGATGCAATACACACCATATACTTAATTAAGAGGGCAATACGTCCAGTAATTTTTGTTCCTGACTACTCACTTGCTGGTCAGGATTACATTTTGTGTCAGCAGATGACTTTGTAGGTTACCTCTCAAAAGCTTTTAGTTAACAGGTATTTTTTATATTAATATTGATATATAGTAAATATCTCTCTGTATTTATTTTAAATTTATGTAAGTGTTACAGTTTTATGTTTCTTGGAAGGTCTGGATGCAAGAACTTAATATGACGATGATGAGTTACACTTTGTTCCCTCTAGAAAGATCTGAAGAGTTTCTGGTCATTAGATACTAAAATGCAGTGGAATCTATGACAGATTTCCTGGTGGTAATAATGAATGGGCATTGCAAATGGTGTCATAATGCTGCATTGTGTCTGTTCATTTATCATAATAAAACGAATAAAGTTTTGATGAAATTATAGTACAGTCTACAGTATCTTACAGTTAAGACTTCTAACTCTGTATCGCTGCTTCTCCAACTTTAACATGGCCTTCATAATTGTTCCCTCCTCGAGAGCCTTAGATGCATCCTCATACTGGCAACAAAGAGTTTGTCTTGATGCCAAGTTTTGCGTAGTCCAGATGCCTTCATACATCGGGCGATGAAATTAATTATGTGTAGTGACATATTAATATGAAGAATAAATGCAGATTAATTGCCTGACACCTTCTGCAATAGATAATATATGGGCGGGTGATTCTTAATTGCATGCATTTCATTTAAGGATTGTGCTGTACTCCTAAAATCAAGCCAAGATGAAGCTCCTATAATCAAATGGTCACAAGTGCCTTGTTAGTGGCTGCAGTAATGAAGCATCAGTTCAAAAGTAATATTTGGACAGGAATAACTGGTGATCTCCTCATATCACCTTATGACTTAGTGTTTCAACTCCTAAGATGTCTTATTTACATCATAAAGCAGCTTTTGGACCCTCATCACACATGCTGATGGATAAGATGAACCAAATTGACTTCACGGCCTCTGTGGCCTCATTTTACATCTACCAACTCCTACATGTGGGGGCATCTGAAGGGCATAATTTACTTGGAAAGAGTCAATATCCACAACTAGCTTTAGCATTTGATTCAGCGGCTGTGACAACAGTAAATTTTCAGGGTACTAGTGCCAGCACAGAGCTCAGTTACGCATTCAAAGTAACAGACCACATTTTCAGAAACTTTTGCCAATACTTTATGAACATTAAAATCCTGTTCACATATTTTTAAGAACAAAAATAAATGTGCTTCTGATAAGCTGTTTTACTCGTCTCATTCCAGTTCTCACTAATGAAGAGGTTGCAACTCAATGTTTGTGGGAACTTTCTGGCTTTATTTTAGGAACAAAACATAATCATGTTTGATGCATGCACTTAAGAAGTACCTACTATGTGGCTATTTGTAATTATCTGCATATACAAAATACTGATCTAGAAAACATCCTATTATTAAATTTCAGAAGAATTACATAATTGCTTTCTGTTACACTTGCCAATTCATGTCATAAAAGAGTTTACTTTTTCCTCCATTCCTATATTTTTACAGTACCAATTCATGTACAAACTTTCACATAAAGTACCCTCCTTCACTTTTATGTAGTCAGGTTATCATGTGTGAGGCATCTTTGCAGATTACAGACTTTTAAATTATCACCTGTTAATATATCCATTCAGCCAGTCAAGAGCTGGAGACTACGAGTTGCATTTGAGAAATCACTATTTCCAGCCAAGAAGTGGAGGAAATATGCATTAACATTGAAATCAATGTTCTTCTTCAATTGTGCAGGCAATTAAAAAGCAAAATTCTGACATGCCTTTTTTTTGTCTTATGGACAGAGGGACATGAATGGAACCTGCAGCAAACATTCTAGGTGAAAAACAGTGAACCTTTTGTTGTTTTTGTATTGATGTTGATTTTTGCTAAAAGATGTTTATAATAGGAAGAAACAATCTGTCCCTCTGTAACCTTAATATAACACTTTCTTTATAGTTTAAATGCGTCATGTTTGTGTTTTAAAATTCAAATATATAATATAATTCAAGTCTATACACAAACTTTAAATTGTTGATGTTAAAATTTAAAATTAATATTCATATTTTGCGCTATTCATCGTTATTACGATGTTACAGTATTGCGCTTTATACTACTACATGTTTCAATGCATAGCATCATCTTCAGGTTTTTTTTATCTCTAAAACTACTCTATATTTTCAATGCAAGCTTTTTTTCACAGAATAATGAAAAACAAAACATAAGATGCAAATAATAAGAAAATTGTTTCACAGAATAATGAAAAACAAAACATAAGATGCAAATAATAAGAAGATCAACGGAACACCCACTATAATAATCTACAAAACAAATATAATAAATGAAAAGCTTGCATTGAAAATATAGAGTAGTTTTAAAGATGAAAAACCTGAAGATGATGCTATGCATTGAAACATGTAGTAGTATAAAGCGCAATACTGTAACATCGTAATAACGATGAATAGCGCAAAATATCAATATTAATTTTGAATTTTAACATCAACAATTTAAAGTTTGTGTATAGACTTGCATTATATTATATATTTGAATAACACTTTCTACTGTTGTGTTTCCTTCTGTACAATGTGAGCTCTGGAAACAAATTTTGTATGGTCAAAACTCTATACAAGAATTCATTCTGGACTGCCTTGTCTAAAACGTAAGTACATGATGGGACAATGAAAATTTTCTTTTTACCCAAATAAAGGTGAATGTAAAATTCTCTTTTTGCATGAGAATCATGGTTTGAAGGTGTCTGGAAGAAGGGATGTAACACTCCATCCACCCTATCTCAGCAGTGGATGGAAGTGAGTGATTATGCTCTTTTCATGAATTGAATCCCAGTTACAATTCTTGCCCAGTGTAATTCTATCCAGGCTCGTACTTTGAGATATGGGGGTCAGTGCATGTAGCTGCTTTACTGTATTATTCAGCAGCTAAGATTGCAAGGAGCTTTATTACAGCGTCTTCACAATGTGTTGCTTTGGTACATAGATCTCTTTGTTATGCCCAACCCTTCTGTTCTGCATCTCATCATGCTGAGTCCTCTAATAAAATACATATTTATGCAGATCTAAATGGCACAATTGTATTCTGACGAAATTTAAGTGTTTTAATTTAATTTGCATTTAAGTTGGTGTGCGTATTGAATACGTGGGTGTTATTTGTGAATAGACAAAGTTAGGAGTTGTGGATTCTTAACCTTAAAATTTTCATCAAGCAGGCCTGTTTCTTCCTGGTGCTTCCAAGGATTGTGGACAAATCTTTACAATTTGGTGACTAATTGCATGAGGTAAGTTAAAATGGTGTGTGTTACTAGTAAGTAAATATATGTGAAATTCCAGCTTTGTGGCAGGTTAGGCAAGTTATTTCAACTGAAATAGTTTCGTAAGCTTAGAACAAGTAAATAAACCTCAAAAACATCAACAAGTGAACGTGGTCATTAACTGTAAGAATATATCTTTCATACCCTTTATGATATTTACAAGTTATCTTGGGCTAGAAATTCAGTAGCAATGATGGGCAAAGTATTAAACCAACCAGTGAATCGTAATGCACGCTACGAGTGACGGCAAGCAAAGGAACGAAATTGATGGCCATCACCCATACAAGAGATTTATTATATTCGTGGCAAGGCTGTTTAACTGCACTAATGAGTTGTAAAGGGAAGGACACGGCAATGCTCTGGTGAGTAATTCAAAGTGACAAAACTAATTCTCTGAAACAGAAAACGTGCTATTATGGTACAAAATTTAGGTTAGGTTCGTTTTTAGGTTAAATTATTTTGATTTTGTTTTTAAATATAAATAGATTTCTTGATGGTTCCAAACATTATTTGGGGATGAACCAACTACAAAAGAGGCCGGTTGAGGTAATAAGAGATTGGCTTATTCTTGTCTGCTGAAAAATTAACTTCTTGGTGCCAATATTGAAGATCTTAAAGGCCAGTGTAATGAGAGAAGATCGTTCATTCCATTGGAGGGATCAGATATATTTCAGGTACGATAATCCTGCAGTAGCAGGCATCAGACATTAATAATAAAATTAAGTTTGATTCATTGAGGTTGCAAGTACTTCTGAAATGATGTCGCTTAACTCCTGCTAGACTACAAAGTGCAACAACCCAGAAGACAGCCATCATCATACTCGCTGCTATGAGAACCTGCAGTAAGGACATTTCGGTACATTTGAATTTGCCAGCTTGCATGTGACTTCTGTAATATGTATTGCAACCTCTCATTTGTTTCACCTCCTCTGTATGAAATCCACAAGCAGCGCCCAGCCACAGTGATAACAACCTCCTTTGGTTTATAAGGTTGTATTTGATATATGCAGTGCAAATTATAAAGTTAAGGAATGGTTCTTTATATTTTTGCCTCACACAGTCAGTGATATTTTATTACTTATGTTTGAAAAATTTACAAGAAAATAACAAGCTACTTATTAGATAAATGGCTACAGGCTTCAACCATATTTAACCAGTTATACAAAAATCTATACGACAATATCCAAACTCATTTACATATAATAAATAACTCATATGTTAATTAATTGTTTCACAGAATAATGAAAAACAAAACATAAGATGCAAATAATAAGAAGATCAACAGAACACCCACTATAATAATCTACAAAACAAATATAATAAATGAAAAGCTTGCATTGAAAATATAGAGTAGTTTTAGAGATAAAAAAAACCCTGAAGATGATGCTATGCATTGAAACATGTAGTAGTATAAAGCACAATACTGTAACATCGTAATAACGATGAATAGCGCAAAATATGAATATTAATTTTAAATTTTAACATCAACAATTTAAAGTTTGTGTATAGACTTGAATTATATTATATATTTAAACATATTTAACCAGTTTTAGGCTCTACCAAAAAGTATTATTATTGGAATGGATTATGTGTTGGCAAGTGTAATTTCACTTGTCTTTCACAATAATATACATGAATAAACAAAATTATGTGATGTTAAATATTACATTTACATATTAAGATTAAAGACACACTTAGGTCATATTTGCAACCTTGAATTTATTCCCAAAAGTATAATTCAAACATCATAGCAGCCTGTATTCATCAACTGACCTTAGACAAAGTCCACAGCTCGTGTGGTTAGTTGTCGAGTTCTCAATTCGGGAGCCCAGGTTGAAACCCAAGGCAGTTCATGTGGGATTTATAGTGGGCAAAATTACACTGGGATACACTCATCTCAGAGTTCTTTGGTTCCCTCAGACACTAGATTAATATTGTCTGTTGCTTCGCATTATTTGTGGGCTGTAATATCAGGTTTCTATCAGACACATTTCCAGAGAGTCATTTGCCTCCCTTCACGATAATAACAGTAATGCAGTATTAAAGTAAAAACGTCACACAATTAAAGTCCATAATTTAAAATATAGAATGGTCTATGGATTGTATAAAATCTATTGTTGCCATGTGAAATGTGTTTCTGATGTTTCTCCTTTGTCAGTACTAAAAGAAAATTTGGGACCAGTTTTATATGGATCATTAAACGTTTATTATTATGGGTGGCCATTTATTATCGTTATATATGTTTAGTGTTTGCTTGTATACAGTTGTTCCACTGGCCCAGTGTGTGTTGTGATCATCAGCGGTGTACTGATGTTCTATTTCTGTGTTAACGACAGTTGTATACTGTGATGATGGGCCAGTTCCTGGTTTCCTGACTCATGTTCTACCATAATCCTATAAAATTATTGCAATAATCATTTGACAGTGTCCATAACAGAAATACTAATCAGCCATGTGGAGGCTCACACCCGTGCACTGATAAATGTAATTCTGAAAAACCTCCCTCACTGAGAGAGCATACAGTTCGAATGCACCAGGAAGAAGTTGAGCAGTTTACCCAAAGTCTTATTAAGTATTGTCATAAACTACAGTGAACTAAGGGAGTGAATAAAAGACCAGGGAGCAGCCATGTTGCCACATATATTTTGTTAGATTCTTGTGTTTCATTTTCTTACTTGAAAGTCAGTTGTGATTGGTGTTTAGTGTCTAGGGAGTGTTCAGACTGAAGCAATTGAAACTCAACCAAAACAGATCACACCGGACTTGAAATTTCCTGGTAGTCTCACTGAACCAACTCTTGGTCGCTGAGTTCATTATTAAATTATATTCCAGATCGACTGATTGAATGGTGCAAGAATCAGGTGACCCATTGACTTCTACACCTAAACGTGAACTTCATTCAAAGACCACACGAGATATCTTATTTAATTTTAGAAGCAACCTGCTTACATTGTCCGTTATCCAACATTTCTACAATTTCATGTGTGTCCTGACAGTGTGTCGATGTTGGTATTCTAGATTGTTAAGCCATGTAACTGCTTACACTTAAGAGAAACTACTGCCTACATCATCAGCCCTGATGATGGAGGGAGTAAATGCTTTTTAGGAGCTTGTGTCTACCTACAAGTTCCCACAGCATTTTCTCCAAAAAGACCAGCATCTACATCTTCAAAATGCTGTGAGAACCTCAAATTTCACATAGTGAAACTGTGTTCCTGTAATTTCTGTACATCATTCCAAACTAATGCGCTTTTGCAGTGTTGAATAAAAGTGCATTGCAGTCTGTAATCTCACGTTCAGAAATATGAAACATTGTTCCAATCTCTTCCTTACTGTGTCAGATGTCCTTCCATCTTGGCTGTTTTAGTGGCCTCTCATTTGTTTTATTTTGAGTTATTTTAAAAATTTCTGTGGCTTTTCATTAGTTTTATTCTGTTAAAACCATCATTGTTTAATATTCTCATTCTCCGTTAATTTCAACTGCATGTATCGCTACTTACAGTTATGCTAACAAACACAGTTGCAAAACAAAACATAAGATGCAAATAATAAGAAGATCAACGGAACACCCACTATAATAATCTACAAAACAAATATAATAAATGAAAAGCTTGCATTGAAAATATAGAGTAGTTTTAAAGATGAAAAACCTGAAGATGATGCTATGCATTGAAACATGTAGTAGTATAAAGCGCAATACTGTAACATCGTAATAACGATGAATAGCGCAAAATATCAATATTAATTTTGAATTTTAACATCAACAATTTAAAGTTTGTGTATAGACTTGCATTATATTATATATTTGAATAACACTTTCTACTGTTGTGTTTCCTTCTGTACAATGTGAGCTCTGGAAACAAATTTTGTATGGTCAAAACTCTATACAAGAATTCATTCTGGACTGCCTTGTCTAAAACGTAAGTACATGATGGGACAATGAAAATTTTCTTTTTACCCAAATAAAGGTGAATGTAAAATTCTCTTTTTGCATGAGAATCATGGTTTGAAGGTGTCTGGAAGAAGGGATGTAACACTCCATCCACCCTATCTCAGCAGTGGATGGAAGTGAGTGATTATGCTCTTTTCATGAATTGAATCCCAGTTACAATTCTTGCCCAGTGTAATTCTATCCAGGCTCGTACTTTGAGATATGGGGGTCAGTGCATGTAGCTGCTTTACTGTATTATTCAGCAGCTAAGATTGCAAGGAGCTTTATTACAGCGTCTTCACAATGTGTTGCTTTGGTACATAGATCTCTTTGTTATGCCCAACCCTTCTGTTCTGCATCTCATCATGCTGAGTCCTCTAATAAAATACATATTTATGCAGATCTAAATGGCACAATTGTATTCTGACGAAATTTAAGTGTTTTAATTTAATTTGCATTTAAGTTGGTGTGCGTATTGAATACGTGGGTGTTATTTGTGAATAGACAAAGTTAGGAGTTGTGGATTCTTAACCTTAAAATTTTCATCAAGCAGGCCTGTTTCTTCCTGGTGCTTCCAAGGATTGTGGACAAATCTTTACAATTTGGTGACTAATTGCATGAGGTAAGTTAAAATGGTGTGTGTTACTAGTAAGTAAATATATGTGAAATTCCAGCTTTGTGGCAGGTTAGGCAAGTTATTTCAACTGAAATAGTTTCGTAAGCTTAGAACAAGTAAATAAACCTCAAAAACATCAACAAGTGAACGTGGTCATTAACTGTAAGAATATATCTTTCATACCCTTTATGATATTTACAAGTTATCTTGGGCTAGAAATTCAGTAGCAATGATGGGCAAAGTATTAAACCAACCAGTGAATCGTAATGCACGCTACGAGTGACGGCAAGCAAAGGAACGAAATTGATGGCCATCACCCATACAAGAGATTTATTATATTCGTGGCAAGGCTGTTTAACTGCACTAATGAGTTGTAAAGGGAAGGACACGGCAATGCTCTGGTGAGTAATTCAAAGTGACAAAACTAATTCTCTGAAACAGAAAACGTGCTATTATGGTACAAAATTTAGGTTAGGTTCGTTTTTAGGTTAAATTATTTTGATTTTGTTTTTAAATATAAATAGATTTCTTGATGGTTCCAAACATTATTTGGGGATGAACCAACTACAAAAGAGGCCGGTTGAGGTAATAAGAGATTGGCTTATTCTTGTCTGCTGAAAAATTAACTTCTTGGTGCCAATATTGAAGATCTTAAAGGCCAGTGTAATGAGAGAAGATCGTTCATTCCATTGGAGGGATCAGATATATTTCAGGTACGATAATCCTGCAGTAGCAGGCATCAGACATTAATAATAAAATTAAGTTTGATTCATTGAGGTTGCAAGTACTTCTGAAATGATGTCGCTTAACTCCTGCTAGACTACAAAGTGCAACAACCCAGAAGACAGCCATCATCATACTCGCTGCTATGAGAACCTGCAGTAAGGACATTTCGGTACATTTGAATTTGCCAGCTTGCATGTGACTTCTGTAATATGTATTGCAACCTCTCATTTGTTTCACCTCCTCTGTATGAAATCCACAAGCAGCGCCCAGCCACAGTGATAACAACCTCCTTTGGTTTATAAGGTTGTATTTGATATATGCAGTGCAAATTATAAAGTTAAGGAATGGTTCTTTATATTTTTGCCTCACACAGTCAGTGATATTTTATTACTTATGTTTGAAAAATTTACAAGAAAATAACAAGCTACTTATTAGATAAATGGCTACAGGCTTCAACCATATTTAACCAGTTATACAAAAATCTATACGACAATATCCAAACTCATTTACATATAATAAATAACTCATATGTTAATTAATTGTTTCACAGAATAATGAAAAACAAAACATAAGATGCAAATAATAAGAAGATCAACAGAACACCCACTATAATAATCTACAAAACAAATATAATAAATGAAAAGCTTGCATTGAAAATATAGAGTAGTTTTAGAGATAAAAAAAACCCTGAAGATGATGCTATGCATTGAAACATGTAGTAGTATAAAGCACAATACTGTAACATCGTAATAACGATGAATAGCGCAAAATATGAATATTAATTTTAAATTTTAACATCAACAATTTAAAGTTTGTGTATAGACTTGAATTATATTATATATTTAAACATATTTAACCAGTTTTAGGCTCTACCAAAAAGTATTATTATTGGAATGGATTATGTGTTGGCAAGTGTAATTTCACTTGTCTTTCACAATAATATACATGAATAAACAAAATTATGTGATGTTAAATATTACATTTACATATTAAGATTAAAGACACACTTAGGTCATATTTGCAACCTTGAATTTATTCCCAAAAGTATAATTCAAACATCATAGCAGCCTGTATTCATCAACTGACCTTAGACAAAGTCCACAGCTCGTGTGGTTAGTTGTCGAGTTCTCAATTCGGGAGCCCAGGTTGAAACCCAAGGCAGTTCATGTGGGATTTATAGTGGGCAAAATTACACTGGGATACACTCATCTCAGAGTTCTTTGGTTCCCTCAGACACTAGATTAATATTGTCTGTTGCTTCGCATTATTTGTGGGCTGTAATATCAGGTTTCTATCAGACACATTTCCAGAGAGTCATTTGCCTCCCTTCACGATAATAACAGTAATGCAGTATTAAAGTAAAAACGTCACACAATTAAAGTCCATAATTTAAAATATAGAATGGTCTATGGATTGTATAAAATCTATTGTTGCCATGTGAAATGTGTTTCTGATGTTTCTCCTTTGTCAGTACTAAAAGAAAATTTGGGACCAGTTTTATATGGATCATTAAACGTTTATTATTATGGGTGGCCATTTATTATCGTTATATATGTTTAGTGTTTGCTTGTATACAGTTGTTCCACTGGCCCAGTGTGTGTTGTGATCATCAGCGGTGTACTGATGTTCTATTTCTGTGTTAACGACAGTTGTATACTGTGATGATGGGCCAGTTCCTGGTTTCCTGACTCATGTTCTACCATAATCCTATAAAATTATTGCAATAATCATTTGACAGTGTCCATAACAGAAATACTAATCAGCCATGTGGAGGCTCACACCCGTGCACTGATAAATGTAATTCTGAAAAACCTCCCTCACTGAGAGAGCATACAGTTCGAATGCACCAGGAAGAAGTTGAGCAGTTTACCCAAAGTCTTATTAAGTATTGTCATAAACTACAGTGAACTAAGGGAGTGAATAAAAGACCAGGGAGCAGCCATGTTGCCACATATATTTTGTTAGATTCTTGTGTTTCATTTTCTTACTTGAAAGTCAGTTGTGATTGGTGTTTAGTGTCTAGGGAGTGTTCAGACTGAAGCAATTGAAACTCAACCAAAACAGATCACACCGGACTTGAAATTTCCTGGTAGTCTCACTGAACCAACTCTTGGTCGCTGAGTTCATTATTAAATTATATTCCAGATCGACTGATTGAATGGTGCAAGAATCAGGTGACCCATTGACTTCTACACCTAAACGTGAACTTCATTCAAAGACCACACGAGATATCTTATTTAATTTTAGAAGCAACCTGCTTACATTGTCCGTTATCCAACATTTCTACAATTTCATGTGTGTCCTGACAGTGTGTCGATGTTGGTATTCTAGATTGTTAAGCCATGTAACTGCTTACACTTAAGAGAAACTACTGCCTACATCATCAGCCCTGATGATGGAGGGAGTAAATGCTTTTTAGGAGCTTGTGTCTACCTACAAGTTCCCACAGCATTTTCTCCAAAAAGACCAGCATCTACATCTTCAAAATGCTGTGAGAACCTCAAATTTCACATAGTGAAACTGTGTTCCTGTAATTTCTGTACATCATTCCAAACTAATGCGCTTTTGCAGTGTTGAATAAAAGTGCATTGCAGTCTGTAATCTCACGTTCAGAAATATGAAACATTGTTCCAATCTCTTCCTTACTGTGTCAGATGTCCTTCCATCTTGGCTGTTTTAGTGGCCTCTCATTTGTTTTATTTTGAGTTATTTTAAAAATTTCTGTGGCTTTTCATTAGTTTTATTCTGTTAAAACCATCATTGTTTAATATTCTCATTCTCCGTTAATTTCAACTGCATGTATCGCTACTTACAGTTATGCTAACAAACACAGTTGCAATGCTTATGGTTTCAGCAGTCTCGAATCTTATTTTTCTTCTCTTCTTAGTATCGGTTGGTGAATATAGTGACTCAAAACACAACGTTCGTACAGTCGTGCGCCATGCACTGGAATGACAGAAGAGTGGGCTATTTGTTTCTTAGTGCTCTTGAGTCATGTTGCTTAATCTGTTGGTTTGCCCCAATAAGTGTTGACATATTTTCAACAATATCAGTAAGTCAGATTATATGGCGTCTTGTGACAAGCTGATCAGTGAATGATGCAGTGTAAGTGGTGTGCAAGGAAGAACATTTTGCATCATTTAAGATAATATCCAATTTTTTCATTGACTAACTAAGGAAAACTAGGAACAATCTGAATGAGTATAGCTGTTGTCTGGGCTGAGATTTCCTCAGTGTAGTATTCAGACACATTTAGTATAAATGAGATTTTAATATTGACCTTCCATACAATGTTACGATGCAGATATAGGACGGGCTATGAACTGGCGTGGACACAGATATCTGATGTGAGTACCTGCACTCATAAATGCATAAAACTCTCCCAATAAGGTGCTCAGTAAGCAGGTTTACTTTATCATTTTTGGACTCATTATTTTCCCTAAAAATTTTACTTATAGAATTGGTTTATCTGTTGGCAGAATTTATTGATTCTGATTACATAATTAAGTTAATGTTTTGTGACTTAAGGTACAGTTTTGCGTAAATGTAGTTTATTTATTCAAATAATGAGAAATCTATTACTTTCCACTGTAAAGACTTACGTTCAGATATTTTATCCACTCTGTGAATTTCTTAATGCAAGTTTGAGTATTCTCATTTATAAAGCTCTGGATGTAGTATGTGGTGCTGTCTTTCATCACTAGTGGCATGAGTTGTCCAGGTATTTATGACCAGCTCACACACTTCCAGCTTACTTTATACAAAAATCTTGTGTGTTAAAATAATGATAATTAGTGTGTATGTTGCCCTAACAAAGAATGTGATTTTGAATTTGTCACTCCTTGAAATCTCTGAAGATCATCCTGAGAATTCTGGTGACACCAGCAGAATGGGCATTCCAACACAGTGGCAGGAGTGGAAAATCCAGTAGGAATGACAGCTCCTCAAGTTGACAGGACATGATGAAAGTGGAGACATGTCATCAGTTCAGAAGACTGCATAGAATCTGTAACTTTGGCTTAAGGAATGAGCAGTTTAGAATGTTGAAGGTTTTCCAATGTTTTGTCAAACGCTGTTGATCTGTGCTAATTCTAGATAGGGTGAGTGGTCAGCGTCATGCCTCGGCCTGCTTAACCCCGGGAAAGGGAACTGGTATCAATTGGACAGTATGCTGGGTGGGCCCCAGAGCCAGTCTGGATGCTGAGACCAAATCATAATGTTACTGCTTATAATATTATATGACTAACAGTGCACAGCATTAGTAGGGGGAAATATGACAGTTTCTTACACATTTATCGTCTGAAACTCAGGACAGTTTTCTGGTCTGTGACCTTAGTTAATCAAACACTTTTCAAGAAACAATCAGAATTTCCCATAGTGCCATTATTCTCTCGTGCTTACTATCCGAACAACAGAAAACATATATGCCGGGACTCGAACAAAAGATACATTTTTTGGGTTGTAGTCTTTAAATTTGTAATCTCCTCTTCGGGTCGAGCAGTTTTGTTTTGGCGCCATTCTTTATTCGTGCTTAATTTCCGAGTTACAGGATCCGTCCCCACCGAAAATGGACTCATGACAAGTTTCCGGAAATTTCGACCATATCAATTATATATACAATAACTATGCACACAATAATATAAAAAATGAATCATTATTGCTATTTTTTAGAATTTACACTAGCTGTTGTATAATTTGCTATCTTAGCGCCGCGTAGTGTAAATGCAGACAATTAATTGCAGTAGGTTTGGAGGGGGTAAATCGAATAGCCGGCGTTGGTGTTAACTGTCTTGAGATAGGAGGAAGTATTAACTTTTAGGTGTCAGTTAAATGCGTCGTTAATGTGATTTGTTCAGTAATTACAAGTTTTCGTCTTATTTTGTATTCTACTTTTTAAAATTTATGAACCGTTTGCTTCTATAAATTAAATTAAAAGATAACACTCGGCCTTCTTAATCGTTAGTAGATTAGATTCCGTTTTGAAGTGGGTGCTGGCACTGCCATTTGATCAATTGTTTCGCTGTGAAAGTAGAACATTCTGGTATTTGCAGGAAGCCTTATTATGAGGTGCGTATAGTGTACAGTATTCGAGGTTCGACTTATTGTGTAAGATGCAGCATTTGTAATAATTGATTGTGCATACGTCTTTCGATAAAACATTACCAATTTATACGACTGCCTTGTCCAGAATTAATTTTGTCTGCGTTGACTTCAATTAAGTTTATTGAAGTTATGTGTATGGAAATTTCTTTGCATCCTTCATTGTTTCTGTGATTAATTTGACAGCAGGTCTTGTATATACATTTTAAAGTAGTAAAGAAGAGATGCATTTTATTTCTGTAGTTTGTTCGTGTTTGGTGCAGTGTTTAATTTTGTGTTTGGTCTTCATAGATATGGGGAAAAAAAATAAAAAGCCCGGGCGTTGCTTTGGCAGCCGGCCCACGAGGGGCAAGCCTGAGCTTCAGACTGCGGAACACCCTGTGGAGGCAGCGCAGGTAGTTGGAATAGGGCATCTCATTGAAGTATAATAAATAATCTGTAGTCAGCTGAATAATGCTTTCTGTGCATACCACAAATTTTCCTGTTTAATAGGAACAGCTTTTATAATGTGTTGTTTGTGTGTTTATTTCTTTGAGATCCCACCAAGTATTAAAATATCTGCCAAGTGATGCTTGCTGCTTATTTTCAACTTCATGCTGTAAGCTGAGTGACAATAATTAAGAACCAGTTCTAGTTATTCTGAGCTCAATTTCTTGTGCACAGATCTTAGCCCCAGCCTTTCTCAGAAATGGAACTCATAATTGCATTTGCTTATCAGCCGATACTTAAGAAGAAATTGACACACCGCAGGACTTTGGTATACTTGCATGTCCTTGGTAAAATGGGCAGAGGAACCTGTCAGGGATACATTGATTACTTTGCACAGAAGCTGCACAGTGTTTGACCAAAAATTTTAACTTCTGTCATGGTATTTTTATGATTTAAGTTTCTGGGGATTACATGTTACTATAATGATCAATCATGTGTTGCTTGGCACTTTGCCTACATTATTTGCTGAATGGTTCAGTTAAGGGATAAGATTTGTGATTAATGTATTTCCTCCACCTTAATTAGTTACCAGAAAAGTTTAGATAGAAGATTTCATTGTTGAATCAATAACTTTATGGGAGTTTGAATGTTGTGTTTTATCTCAGATTTAATAACTTTTTCTCATTTTGTGTAATTGTACAAGTGTTAACCCTGCTCAAATGATCTCTTTGTAAGTGAATTTTAGGTTGGAAATGATAAAGATTGGTCTCGTCTTCAGTCGATAACCTGCACTTGCAAATTTGCATTTTTTTTAGGTGTCCAGCAGTTTGGGTTCCCATGGGGTGTTACAGCTAGGGGATGACAGTCTGGCTGCAAACATGAGTGACATGTCAATCGGTAAGAACACGTGGATAATGATTGGGACAGAGAAAGGAATAGAGGAAATTACGTGTCTTGAAACTTTGTGATGTATTTTTTCTTTTAGTAATATTAAGATCGCGTAGCCACTGATTTGGCAGTGGGTTGATTGTTATAGCCAATTGAAATAAATAAGTTCATACGGAACATGTCAGGTCCTGGTAATTTTGTGTATCTTTTTTGGAAAAATTTGCATCTAAGGATTTGTGTGTGTGTGTGTAAAACTTGCCTTAGCTTTCAGGTCAGTGATGGTAACTGATGAACCATTAGAGCCAGGCAAGCAAAATTAAATTTTTGTTTGTGGAAATAATGCACATTATTTGGATCAATAACATCAATAATAATAATTATATTTATTGACAGCTGGGAGTTTGCGTTGTTACGTTAATTTGTCGGCTGGATTGAGGTGATGCATTCCATCTTTATATATGTGATATATATAATGCACTGTAACCTAATATTGCATGGCTGTGTCCTCAATCTGCAGGGTTCATTGCTATCATTCGGCTAAAAGATTAACACTGTCACCTTACTTCAAGATTTTTGTCGGACATTGGAATAGTGAATGACACTTGACCATTTTGCCATTCAGTTTCAATAGTAGTATGCAGTGACCATATTACGTCAGAATGGTATATGTTTCTCAACGTTTTAATTATGTGTTCAGTAAATAAATGGCACATTTATAGAATGTATGGCTTCATGGTAATATTTATTAATCTGACTTGTGTATGGTTGCAAATATGCTACAAAGTGGAGTTTGGGATGAAAAATTTATCACTGACTGTAGACTATGCATTTGCAGTTGTTTTCATTAGAACAGGGGTCTTCAACCCATGGGCCACGTGCAAAAATAATTCTACCCCCCCCCCCCCTTACACTTTCAGGTGCAGGTGCTATTGGCCCTGTGAGTGAAGGTGGGGCACCAGTGTGCCAGGGTGCCATTCCGAAGAGGCTTGGGGCCATTCATTTGCGTCCAGAGCCCGTATGCCTCACCTCCGAGCAAGGTGAGTTTTCAGCTTGTGATACATTTTAATCGTTGTATTGTTAGCATGCCATTAAAACATGTAAGTAGGGGTGAGATGAATTGAAGTGTTAACTCGCCATACAGAGAAGAAAACGTAATTCCATAAGTGCACGCGTTCTTTATCTTTTTGTGGTTCAGCATTGAACAAGCTGGAAGACGTACGCATGCCCTAGCAATTCTGGTGCATTTGCAGTTGTTTTCTGTAGATTTTCAATTTTTGAGTACTAGCTTGTTTAATTCTTTCAGCAACTGTAAAATGGAAAATGATTATTGGCCCTAAAATGTGTTTAATTTTTCTAAGCAAGCTTTAGTTATACTGGCATCTTACAGGTGATATTCTTAATTTGCTCTGAGCTGATTTAACACTTGAAGATGACTGACTTCTGGGATGTTACACTATGTAGTCTGGTATAAACTGAGTTTTAGAGGTACTCACGGCCTCCATCGTCAGGGCAATATCTGTGGAGACAGTGTGCACCTGTTTCCACCAGACTACACAGTGAAACATTCTAGAAGACGTCATTTTCATACTTTCTGCAACTGTTCAAACAAAGAGTAGTTTTAATAAATATGGTTATATATATTTTTTTTAAATAGGTGTTCCGATTACCCTGAAGGCTAATTACTTCAAGTTGGAGACTGACCAAAATTGGTACCAATATGATGTGTGTTTTTCACCTGAAGTGGAGAGTGCAGTGGAACGCGAAGGGTTACTGGATAACGTGAAAGAATCCATAGGTGTTTATGTCTTAGATGGCACCACGATGTTTTCTATTAATGATCTTGGCCAGAACGTAAGTAAAGTAAGACTTTACAGCTGTTTAGATGTAATTATGTGTCTGCCATAAGTCCCCATGCATTTGTTAACCAACTTCCTCTCCCCCTCTTTAATGATTTGTTGGGGCTTGCTCTTGTCTGTTGCCGTATGAGCAGTGAGATATAAACTCACCCTGGCAAGAGATTATCCCTGTTCAGATGTGTTGCGTGCATACAAGGGAGACGCCTTCACTGTTTTCTGAACTTTGTCCATTACGCAGTTCTCTAAAACGAGACCACTTAATTTCACGAGCTGGCCGTGTTATTGAGATTAAGTTTTTCTGTTGGACCTACAAAGTAAGTATTTCCACATGATGATGGGAGTAGCACCAGCTCCGAAAAAATTGTGGTCTCATTTTTGAATACTGATCAGTGGATGAAATCTAGAAATACAGCAATATTAAATGTGATGCACCATTGTTAGAACCCTCTGTCTTTGACAGAAGTTGTTACATCTTGGCTTCAGAACTGGGGAATTTGCCCCAGTATAAACTTTTATGCGGTATTAAATGATATATTAGATGTGTTTTAGATTACATTCTCTCTGCCATTTTTACATGAAAGTTACATATGTTCTTATGCTGTTCTTGAAACACGGTGTTATGTGGTGGGATGGCCGACTGGTTCAGTGCTAGAGGTAAAGTATTGAAGCGGGAGGATTAAAAAGTTGGTTACCAGTGAGAATTAGGCTTACTCACAAGGACATATGGATTTCCTAATGGCAAGGCAACATTAGTAGAGTGATGCTTGTTTTGATTTGTAAATAAGTAAACCTTAGTACCATGCCTTCCATCAGGCAATGTCTGACTCTAAATTTCAGTAACTTTGTCCTTTTTCTGTTTGCTTGGAATATTACAAAGTTTGTGTTATTTTGAAAATTATTTTCCACGCTGTTTTCTGATGCGTAAATGTTTTTGCGCTCTATATATATATATATATATATAGTACACTTCTGCCCCCCTGGCATACTCAGTCAGAAGATGCTTAAGATGGCTAATTATTTAATTCTAGAATTGGAATATTATATTAGAAAATAATATCTTCCAACCACATTAGTTGTAAGGCATATCTGATCATGAATGAAATGCTAACTTGACTATAAAAATGTGTGTACTTCATAATGAGATTCCCTTTGCTTCAGGAGATGAAATTATTTTCTACATGGGAATCAGATGAAATACAAACTCAGATCAGTTTGCAGTTTGTCAAAAAGCTCGTAGTGGGCGAAGCCTGCTACATCCAGTTTTTCAACAAACTGATGCGGCAGGAAATGAGGTATCTGCAGCTGCAGCTTGTGGGCCAAAACTTCTGTGATGAATCGGACAAGGTATTTTATCTTTCTGTCATGTTTTGGAATGTTGTAACATTGCACCTTTGCATTATTAAGATGGAGTAGAACGTGCTTAACAGAATAGGTCATTGTTTCAACATCAGTGTCATTCATACTTCATTTATGTGACATTAGAACCTGGATGTATCATGTCTTGTGCTGTGGTTGTGTTTTATTTATTGGGAAATATCTGAAATATGTTTAGATTTTGCTGCATTGCTGGTACATTATGTTGCTGGGTTCTCTAGTGTTTTCTTGGAATTTTTCTATTGAAGGGTGACATTGAGAACAGAAGTAATATTCACAGCTTGCTTATCAGTTGAAACAGAGTTGCCCTAATCTTGATAAGTTCTAAATTTTTGAGGTGGTGGAAATGCTCTGAAGGGTTATAAACACATGCAGAATTAAAAAGAAAACTTGCAGGTACTACTTTGTTTTTCATGGAGAAAAATAGTGAAAGTGAATTATACCAGTTGGTAACAAATTTAACTGAGGTACATTTAAATTATTAGGGAAGTGGTTCCATCATGTAGCACAAAATGGTTAAAGAATTTGATCATAGAAATAGAAGCGGTTATAAACTACCTACGCCTAATTTTTATAACATACACAAAAGTGACAAGATGCACCAAAGATTTGGGTAATGAGTCTATGATGGCGAAAGTTACAAGACGTAAAATCAGTATATGGCAATAAACGAGATGATTAAGGAAAAATATCAGTAACAGTTAAAATATTCATCAGGTTATTAATGAAAGCAAATTCCAGAAATTAGCCAAGGTCCCACATCCAAATTTTAACAAGAACGTGTCTGAATAAATCTGAAAAAACCTGAGATATGCTGTCAACAAACAATGAGAGTAGATTTTGTCAAACTGGTGATTTGCTCTGGTTTCTTGATTGTGCCTCATATCCATTGCTGCCTATAAGTTATAATGGAGTGAGTGAAGGAAATCAAGACTTCTTAAACTTTGCTTAAAAAATAGTGTGTGATTTAATCAGTGGTGTCTGTTGAGGTATGGAACATGGAAGCATCTATGTTAGGGGTGGGGAGCCTTTTCGTGTCGGAAGGTCGCATTCAAGAAACTTCAATTAGATATACTTAAAAATGTACAATATTTTGTAAAAATCTAACTAGTATGTACTTAATAATTTCAAAAAATTAAAACTATGTGTTAATTTTAAAGTTAACTAATCTTTTAATGACTTTGTTGTGTCTGCTTTTTGTTGGAGAGCATTTGAATGTTTGGTTGCAGCATGGAGGTCCGCAGTTTCAGTTGATCCTCTAGATGGGTATCCGTCATTTGTGACCTTAAGGGCGTCTTGAAAAATGTATTAATAAAAATAAAAGGATTTGTTATGTAAAATTTTAATTCAGTCAAAAGGCCGCACTTAAGGACCTAGAAGGCCACAGGTTCCCCACCCTTGGTCTAGGTTAATGTTTTGATGAAGTCATTATCTAATCATAATCTTCATAATTTCCAAGTGCATAATGTAACCTATAATTTCACACATGCCACACTTGTGTGCACAACTGTTTTACAGGGTTATAGTTTAAGTTCTCTGTTAACTTCATAGTTTTACTGGAAGTCATTGGTTCTTGTAGATTGTTGTGTCAAATCATCCAGTGGAGGTTTGGCCCGGTTATCTGACTTCAGTCCATCAGCTTAAGGCTGGCATGCTAATGAACTGTCTGATATCAACCAAGGTAGTGAGGCTAGATACCGTGCTGGACATGTTGACCAAGTTAAAGAAAGATCACTCACAACGGTACGAGGTAAGTGTGTTATGTTGTTCTAATGGTGACGGGTGGTAAGTTTTTAATGCACCTTGTGTTCATATATTTGTGTGAGAGAGATTTCCCACGAAAGCAGACGTGATAAGGGAAACGTTATTGCAAATCGTTGACTTCGAGTCACCTATAACAAAAAATAAAAGTTTTGGCAGTACTTGCTTCTGTTGCATTTGCTTATTGGGAAGGGTTAACATGGACATATATATATATATATATATTTATTTATCAATAGTGTATGTTCATTGTATGTGTAAGATCTGGTTGTCTTCAGGAAAAAGGAATTGCTGATTAAATTGTGCTTTTATCATTTTTAGTTGCACTTGCAATGAAGTTGTAGAAATGTTGCTGTTTATTAGCTTTGCCCTGTCTTCATGTAACAACTTCAAGAACACTGGATAGATTTTCATGGAATGAGATTACTTTGTTAAATGTGTTGACATATTACAGTTCTGGCTATAGTAGTACAAGAACTACCAACCCATGTAGTCCTGCGTGCGTTTCCGTCAAGTTCTCAACTTACTATATTTATCAGAGTGAAAAATGTTTAAATAAAAGGTGAAGAGTAAAACTGAAACTGTTCTACACTAATTACACATTTTCCACAATTTTGGTTTTTGAGATGATTAAACAAAAGGGATTTCTTTTTCTGTGTTATCTTATAACTCATAATCTGTAACACTGATATAGTATAAGGGAGCTTTAAAAGTTGGCATTCCCATATTAATATTTAGAGGCAACAACAGAATGAATGTGCGAGAATTATCACATTGTGTCTTTATCTCGTAAGTTGCTTCTCCCATTTTTGTTATTTCTGCAGCCTCTCAAAACTACAGAGGAAAATGACATTTAGTTTTGTTTTTGTATAAGATATTGTGTATGAAAGTTCCAAATTTTTACTTCTTGGCACTAATTACCAGTGTTGTGTTAATTATCATTGTGTCTTGTACGATATTCTTAAATAATTTGTAAGCATTTCCCCAATTATATTGTTGCAGCAAAATATATGAAAACTGTATTTAAGCATGATAGGTTACACCTTGTATTTAAGTATTGTCAAGGCTTTGTTCATGTTAGGTTACACAAATGTTCTGAACGTAACTTTCGATGGTTTAGTATACTAGTTTTTTGTAATTGACTGAGCTGTTTCAGCCTCAGCAAAAAATTCTGTTTCTGTTCCTTACAATAATCTTCATAATGGTGGCTTTCTTTGTCTCTAACCTTCTTATTCTTGTCTTATTTTCTACAGCACACCCCTAAGATTTTTGAAGAATCCATACTGATCACACGTACTTACATCATGATATTACAGACAAAGATAATCTGTCTGTAACTAAGTCTTACTTGTTGCACCATGAAGTATTTCATGGTGCAACAAACTCGTGGGTTTTACGGAAAATCAAAATACCAAATTTTGTGCCATGAAACAGGCGTGGTCTTCGTATGTGTAAATATAGAGTTCTTTTCTGCTTACAGGAATTGTTCAAACAACAAATAGAAGGAGCTGTTGTCCTGACTAAGTATGACAATCAGACATACTATGTGGATTATGTGAATTTTGATCTTACTCCAACTAGCACATTTGAATATCTCGGAGGAGAACAGATCTCATACAAAGATTATTATCAAAGTGTGAGTATATTTTGGGTTTGCATGGTTTTTTAAATCAAATTTTGGTTTCATGAGACTTCTTTCTTAATCTTCAGAATAGAGGCTACCGGTCCCAAGTATTTGATGACAGTGGTTGGTTCAGTACACCATAGTTGTGTTGAGTATTTTCCTTTGCCTGATATTTGTGATGTACATGAAGTTTCTTGCATCAGCTACTCAGTTATTCACCATCTGTATATTTGTATATATTCTAATACATTTTTGAAAGAGATTAATCTAAAACGTTTTTGATTTTCTACTAGCTAGGAGCAGCATCTTATGAGCCTTCAGAAAAGTGACTTGCCAATCATACTCTGCACCTCCAGTCTGCAGTAAAGTGCAGCTTTTGTTGCATTTTGTATTGATGTGGGTCACTCCCCTTCCCCATTTTCTTTTCTCTTTTGGTGGAACTGGTACATATTTGTCTGTTCGCAGACATGCTGTATCATTCACGAAGATTGTAGTAGTTCAGTTATGGTAAATTTTTTGCTTCAGAAGTTTCTCTGTGATGTGCACATTTACATATGAATTTCCCATTGCACTTGTAAAGTTATGATAATTGGGAATGTTGTGATAATTGTGGTTCATCTGAAAGCAAAGTTCAAATTAATGAGCTTTAACATATGGGAATAGGAAATTAAACCCCCATAAAATGGGTCCGGTGACTGAACATTTTGGTATAGCAGTGTGCTAGTGTGAACATGGCCTGTTGGCAGTACATAAGCCAAAAAAGGTTGAGAAGATTGAGAAATCTTTCAGAGAATATGTGTAGAAATGTGTGAGCTAAATGTTGATGTTCTGTACTTCTCCATATTGTGTATGGACATCAGTCATTTGCTGTCTTGACGTGATGCACAGAAAATCTTACTGTAACACCAGTAAATTAAAATCTCAGAAAGTACCATAAACAGTTTCTACAATTTATGAGATTCGGGGCATGCTTGCGTTGTGTGGTCGGCCGGCGCTGTTGACGTGGGCGGGACTTGTACTTTTTCCAAGAAATGACCGATGAAGAAAAGACTTACGGTTTCTTCATGCAAGACAATGCTACAGCTCACACAGCTGATCGGTCGATGTTAGCATTAAGAGAAGTGTTTGGTGAACAAGTTATCGATCAGTGGCCTCCGCGTTCCCCAGACTTGAACCCGTGCGATTTTTACCTGTGGTTCATGCTGAAGAACAAAGTTTATGTAAACAATCCTCACACTGCAGAAGGACTTAAAGAAAATATTCGACAACTGATTTCGGCAATTACCCCAGAAGAGCTTCGTCGAGTATTTTGAAACATGTTAACGAGATGTGAAGTTGCCTGCAAGCACAAGGAAGTCACTTTGAACAGCTTTTGTGATTTAAGGTAAGAACAATTAATGTAATAACATGTATCACTGACGAGAAACACTCGCAGCTCACTGTTATTAGCGGCACCGAAACTGATTCGCCTGTGTTCACGGGAAGAACACGGACCAGTCCGGCCGACCGCGCAACACAAGCACGCCCCGAATCTCATGAATTGTAGACCCGGAATTTCAATAAAACACTGTAACACCCTGTTCCTGTCGATTATATATATTCAAGTTTTACAGTAAATACTGCAAGTAAAATCCAATTTGTTGTGATACAATGTAGGTGCATTACTTTGCTTCTTGTGATATTGAATGTTACAGGCATACCAGAAGACGATATCCGATGACAGACAGCCATTGCTGGTCGCACATGCTGGAAAAGGTGAATGTGTTTGCCTTGTGCCAGAGCTTTGCCGCATGACTGGTTTTGATCCTGAGACGAGAGCAAATGTCGCTGTGATGAGGGAACTTGAAGAACGTGCACTTCTTGCTCCTCAGGATATGATAGATAGACTGAACGCTTTCAACAAGCGTCTCCTGGAACACCAATCTGTAAGTCACTTATGTTCTATTGCAGTTGGAAAATGATTCTGTCCTGCTACATTTAATTGTTTCCTAGTTTGATTTAAATGGCTGTTCCATATGACCATCATTGCTTGTTTGTTACATACTTTCACAATAAGATGACATGGAACATATTTTTCTTAAAGCTGCTGGATTTTGTCATTTTTATGTAAAAAGGTCCCATGTTCCAGATGCTGCTTATTTACACCCTGAAAGTAGAGAAGACAGTTTTGTCCAAGTACAAGGTTTCCTGTTTGTTGATCATACTTTCCTTCCCGGCCCTTAAAAGTGTCAATTTATCTTCTTGTCTCCTGACCCACCCTTCCCTCCAGTATCCTGAAATGGGATTTTTCCTGTTGATCCAGGCATGGATCCGTCTCCCCTCCTCATCCTATGGCTGTGGTTCTTCCCCACGGCCTGCTTCACTCATTCACTTCTAACTTTCCTCACTTTGGCCCTGAATATTTAGGCACCTCTGAAATGCTGATATGCATCCAGAAGACTATTTGATGCATGGTTTTCTTCTGTCTGTAGATGATAGACATGTAAATGGTACTGAAGTGAAACACAAAGGAAGAAAACCACATGATAAGAATGAGAGATATACTTTATATATGGAATTTGAAGTGAAGTGGCAATTTGTAACTTGACAGACGTGCAGAAAATTATGACTTTGTGAAAATGGTTTGTTACCTGCATGTCAGTGAATGTAGCAGTTGTATAAATCACCAGTACATCCCATTTGTCTGTATTTTGTATCAAATGTGAGGCCTACGGAGCAGTTGGTTGCAAACTTGTGGGTGTATGTGTGGATGCAAATAAAACAAAGTGACGAGTTCCCATTATTGATAGATATTTCTGTGGTAATGGGGCAGAAACTTCCTTTACTTTATTTGGTGGCTTTTGCAAGATAAGCTCTGTATTATATTGTGGACTGATGTTTGTTTCAGGTGCGTAGAGATCTGCAAGCATGGAACGTGAGGCTAGATGACAAACTGATTGAATTCCAAGGTCGTGTTCTTCCATGGGATAAGATACTGCATGGTCCTCATCTAGGTCAAGTGGCAGAGCAATCTGGCTGGATGACGGAGTTGGGTCGTAAGCTGTGCCATTCTTTTATTATGAATTTTGACACAGGAAAAATAAACTTGGCTTGCTGTATTCTGGAGTGTCGTTGCCATGTAGTTTAGTCGAAGTTTACCAACATTTCAGAGGTTCTTGCTGCATCCATCATGAGATCACCCTACTGATGGAGGCAGCAAGGATCACTTAAACACTGGTGAACTCTCCAGACTACGAGAACCCGAGGTCATAAGAAAAAAAACTCTACTCTTGGAGTAAAGAAAAATGCCCCTACACCTTCCCTGATGCACACCGCTACAATACAAAAAGATCCACCATGTTGTCATAGTGTTTCTTAAATTATGGCTGTTAAATTCAGTATCACTGTTGTTTAGCACGCTGTAAGAAGTTTCATAAAGAAGGGTCCACCAACCCAAAGTGTTTATTCTAGAACATGTTCTTGTATCTCTTGAAGTGGGTTATCATCGCTCTGCATGTACTTGTTGCAATTTTATCTTTTGCTGTAGCTTCTCTGCAACTCAAAGCCTTAGGTCGCAGAAGGCATATTTGACAAATTCTTTATCAGCCTTTTGCAGCACATATAAGATACTATTTAAAAAATTCTGTGTATCATATAAAAACTTTTTTACAGTGTATTCCTATAGGGTGTGCAAGTTTGCTAATGATTATGCTGTGATATTTGAAGCTCTTGTTGATATTAATGAAGGAATGAAAGCTTGTATATCAACTTGCAGATTTTCTGCTCATCATAGAACTTGGTATTTACCTTTAAACCAGCAACAGTATAAATTTCTTTATCATTGTGAATATTTTTGTTTTAAAAGTAGTTTGCTCATGTGTGAATTAATAACAATGTTTTTTTCTCAGGTAAACCAATGTTGGTAACACCTACACTGTCGACCTGGACTGTTATCGTCCCGGTGACATACAAAAAGGATGCTCAAGACTTTGTAACAAAATTGATTGATGCTGCTTGGCGCATGAGATTCGACATTCGGCAACCATATTTGTGAGTTGCCCTTACTCTGACTTTTCACATACACTGGAAATTTGAAATATGTGTCTTATTACAACTTAATGCTCGTTCTCCAAAAGTTAGAAGTGATGACGTGGTTCAGCAAAAGAGGTACCATGTCGACTAATATAACGTGCACCCTTATTTTTGCAATGGGAAGTTTGAAAATAAGGTGTCTGTGTTTTACGTGCTTTGAAGTAAATAAAATACAGGTAGTGTGAAAAAATAACAAGATAACAAACAAAACCACCCCTTGATTAGCCAGATGGGCCTCAATGCAGTTTGTATTTTGTAAGTGTGAAATTCATGACCTAAACACATTCCTGTGTCCATATTTCAATTCAGGCAGATGATGTCATGATTGTTGGCAGCTTTTCTTTGACACGAGGAAAAGCCAAATTTGTAATCAGAAATTGTTGACGCACAGTACAATCTAATCTATGCATAAAATAAGGGGCCACTTCCTTGCTCTCTTTAATTGTTTCATGTATCACACATGCCCTGATTTCAAGACGATTAATTTTGGAAAATAAAACTGTGTTATACACCAATAAATATGGTATTGGCATAAGTTGAGAAAATATGGTAAGAAGGCCATGACAGGAAGGTGCAGAAGAGTATGTTCTGAAAGAAGGAAGCTGAAATCAGACTTACACAGACCGTCTGCACGTGTAATGTTCTCTGGGTGTTCATTGTAGAGAAGAACATATAAAACCTGCTTTGCTGAGTCCTTGTCCACCTTTACAGTAAAGTTGTGGAGGGGGGGTTTGTATTATTTCGGTGGGGATGTTAAGTCTGGATTTTGACTGTGTTTTTATTCCACGTCTTCCGGAACACTTCTCTCACTTTTTCCTGCATCCTCGCCTTTCCATCACCTTGCTCTCTGAACCACATGGGATATTTTTTCATAACAAGTTTGTATAAGTGTTTGATCTTCAAATTAGTACTGCTTACCATACCTTAAAATGGCTTTCTGCCATTTTATTTATGTTTGTATGAAAATGTCCTGTTTGCAGTGTGTCAACATTTTTTGTTACATAACTTTTGACGTAAATACGTCTATTCTGAAGGGTCATTCCGCAAAAAAGTGTAACGAAAATGTGTAAGATCCGATAACAATGGTTACCAAGGAAACGTAATCTGTTTACTCAGCATTGTTGTTACCTATAAAACATTACATTACATTACATTCAGCTACCACAGACCCATCTTAAGCGTAACTAATTCAAGTTAAATAAGCAATGTCTTCATAAAACCTATCTCAATTGTAAAGCATGTATAAAGGAAAGATTTAGAATAAAACCAATAAATAAACTTCCTCTCCGTATAGAAGTATTTACGTCAAATTCTCCGGAACCGTGGTTCCACTGTCACTTTTTTCCTGTGAAGACGTCTTTAGAAATATACTTTACGTAATCAACTGATCATATATACAAGTTTTAAAGTAGACAGGGCTGTTCACAGTGGCTGCATGGGCCGTCATCACTTGGACACTGGGACTGTGGGTTCAAATCCTACTCAGGCATGGATGGTCGTCAGTGTCTTTCTGCGTTGTGCTATTCTGAATAGGTAGAGGCCTTGTGATGGGCTGATCTCTCATTTAAGGAGTCCTATTGAATGTCTAAATAGATTAAGAAACATCCCATGTGTGAGGAGGCCTGGTATTTTAAGGACTGTAGATTCAAAACAAGAAGAAGATAAGAAACTAGACGGGTTTATTAATCCCAACCTGGTACAGGGTCTGAGCTTGTGCTCATGCACTTTTACGTCCCTTTGTAACACCAGTTCATAGTGGGAACTGAAGAGAAACGTGAACATAGGCTTTTCCTTAAGATAAAATTACTGCCGTGGCTTACAGCCTATTGTGGCAAGCACTTGATGATCCAACATTGTCATATTCACACACATTTTAGTGGTACAACTTTCAGAGCATGAAGGCAGACATTAGAGTATGATGCTGGATTGGGCTGGCCTTACACTTTGTGCCCCGTTGTAGTATTGTAAAAACTGCCAGTTATATTTGTGCCAAACTTTTGTAAACTGCACAGTGCATGCACTATTTATTGGTACATGTCAACAAAGTGCAAGATGGAGAAGGTTGATTCCCAGCCATCAGAAATAAAACAAGTGTTGATCGGTTGTAAATGTAGAGTTCACAAAGAAACTGTTAACACTTTCACAAAAATGTTTTGAAACATTTGTTGCCAGCTTGCTGAATTGTGGGCATTGAGGAAAATTGTGTGTCCTGCACAGGAGTAAATTCCAAATGTTACAGTTTCTGTCTAAAGCACTCTGGTAAAAGTATCTAGCCACTATTTTATCTCCATAAGTCTTCATTTATTCCATCAACTTAAACATGCACATAAAGACATTCTTTGTGCTGATGGTAATGCCATTAATCCTTTGAAACCAAATCTTAATAATATTTCCTACCTCAAAGAAAACACAATGCATATCCATTAGAAAGGTTAATTGGTTAACTTTGTTTACACAAATAATTGCTGTTTAATCTGAGAATCGTGAAACACGCACTGGGCGAAATGGGGAGTCGTTTAATATTAATGCAGATGGTATATATACTTATGACTGGGCTTCAAATCAGCTGTTGTAGCACATCTGCATGGTATTACAAAAAATACCTTTGATGGCTGTTTCATTGTCATACACAAATGCTTACAATGATGTGTCATTGCAGTAGGAGAAAATTTTAGTGTTGTGGGGAGTGTATCGTATACTTTGCCAGTCCCCAGAAAACTGTAAATAAATGTTAAGCATGTTTCACATTCACAGAGAATCTGTATTTTCAAACAAATGTTTTCTAACATAATTATGTGTTTTCTTTTAGCAAATATGTTTCACATCAAGTCCCATCATTTGAAGAAGCATTGGAGGAGGTCAATTTATGCTTAAAACCACAAATGATAATGTGCATTGTTCCAGAGCGCGGCATTAACCATTACACAGCAATAAAGAAAAAATGTTGCTTAGACAGAGCAGGTGAGTTGTGTGCTCTTTTGCTACAGGCATTTTTTTTTCGGAGGTTGTGTTCATGCTCTGCAGGATTTGGTTTGAGTCCTGATTTTCTAGGCTTCATATTTTGATTTAGGAAGAACAACTGAAAATCTCCTAAAACAGGAATCTCCAATAAACCATATGTGGCTGCAAGTTGTGTGTATTCCTGATCACGTGATTGGCTGTCTGTGTGGTTTTAAATATCACAAATGACTTGAGTGTCGGAAGTAACTTTGTGAGCAGAATAGCTGCATGTAGACCAGAACTTACATAATCATTTATTTCTTCTTCAGTGCCAACTCAAGTTATTGTGGCAAACAACTTAACTAGAAAAGGTGTACAGTCTATCGCTACAAGCGTGGCGATCCAAATGTGCTGCAAAATTGGGGGTGTTCCCTGGACTGTTGAAATTCCTATCAGTGTAAGTAAACAGTGATACCATTCATCTGCATTAAGTAGCATGATTATTTTCCTAAATAATGAGTTAGCATTGTCATTTGCATTTCATGCGGACTTGATTTGTTCCCCTGCCTTCTGCCAGTTAAATGTTGTTGATATTATAATTGGGCCTGTGGTAAACCTCCCCCCCCCAAAAAAAAAAGTATAACAAACTGAATAATCTTCATTATCAGTGTTACTGGAGGGGAGATCTGCCAGGACAATATAAACAGCAGATGATCTGATATTCCATTCAGGTCTACTTCTATGAACTAAATTATTTAAAAATATGACAGTTTGTGTAATTCTGAAAAATACTCATAACATGTACTCATATTATCCAAAAATGATTGCTATACATTATCTAAATTCCATCCCTTAACTTATAATCAAATACAGTACAGTATGGCACTAAGTTTAAAAAAAATGTGGCTGTGACAGATTTTATTCCTTTTTTTAAAAAAGAAGAAGTGAATATTGAGATAATGAAAGTTAATTAAGAGCAACGAAGGATTCTTGGTCACCCTCAGTGGACTAGTGGTTAGCGTGCTCGCCAGGGTTTGCGGGTTCAAACCCGGCCAAGGTCTGGATTTTTAATGGTGATAAAAACAAATTCCTTTGGAGGGGAAGTAAAGCCGACCATCCCATATCGTAGATTGGTTCCTGGGGGTATTACTGTCCGTGAGACAAGACCTGGTCCCCCAGGTTGGTGGTTGGACGTAAGGCTGACGACCTTACTCTGTAAAAATCTGTTGTTGCCAAAGAAAGAAGTGAAATATGGGTGGTGCATCAAGGGAAGAGGTGGTAGAAAAGAGAAACTCCAAGTGTTTGTGACATCTCACAGCCACAGCCAGTCATGTTATCAGGAATACATAAACTTGCAGCCACATAGTTTGACGGAGATTACCGTTTTAGGAGATTTTCAGTTGTTTCAGGGATTGATGGTGGTGGGCTTCGACGTCTACCACGACACAACCCCCAGAGGAGGGAATTCGTATGGAGCCTTTGTGGCTTCATTGAACAAGACATTCAGCCAATATTTCTCGGCTGTCTCTGCCCACACACCGGGGCAGGAGCTGAGTAATGATATGGCATCCTATTTGGGTGGTGAGTTGCATGTTTGGTCTTTTTGTGTTTGTTTTACCATTCTGAAGGAAAATTCCAAATGTTTCTTTCTTCCACTTGGCACTGATGTCAGAATGAAACTAGAAAACTTGACAAAAGTAAAGAAAAGGTGGAATGAAGTTTTAACCATTGTAGTACATTTAGCCAAGTCACTTAATTATCTCTGTTTAGTTATGAAAGTTGTTTGCTTCACGTCACGTGTTGGAGGGTTTCGTAAGTTTATGCAAACAATTTTAAAGAATGTATAAAGTTTGTCAATTTCTGCATGCTTTCAAGTTTACTGAGAGTATAGTTTCTTCGTAAGTTTGCCTAATTCCTGGCTTTATATAATGAAGTCCTGATTTAGGGGGGATATTTTTGCAATACTGAACTTCTCATTTAATGTCTTTATGTGAAATGTCTGTTATTGTTGTCCAGATTGCAACGAGAATTGGAATGTGTCTGTGAATTTTAGTAAAACTCCGATATCAGATTTCGTGAAAATCTGATAAACAGTTTTTAAGTTGTTACATACAGACTATATTATAACATTTATAGTATAAAATATATTATGTTATATTTATGGCGCTCTTTTATCGTAGTACGACATTACATTATTCAGCGCTTCTATTTTTGAACGACATGTTTCGATGTTTTATGACATCATCTTCAGGTTTATATCAATCTATATTATTTTAAAACTATTATACATTTTGATGCATTGCATTTATTGATCTTTTGGTATGTTTGTAGAATTTTCCGTCTTCATAATGATCTGGTGTCTGTATTCAGACGTTTATTATCTGTGGAATGGAATAATCGCATTTAGAACAAATAATACAATAAAAAACATTTTAAAACAAAACCACAATCAGATATAAAAAACAAATATGAACAACCAGGCGAAAAATTAAGGAAAGAGCAAGCAGGGTTCAGAAAACATCGAAGTTGTGTCGATCTTATCAACACACTCCGCATAATACTAGAGCAGAGTGCAGAATGGAGGAGTACTCTCTACCTTACGTTTATCGATTTTGAGAAAGCGTTTGATTCGGCCAACAGGAGAGTGATGTGGAATACTGTGGAAGAACATAGAATACCATCAAAGATTACCAATATCATGGAAGAGATGTATGAAGCATATGAATGCAGAGTCTTGCACAATGGAAAACTCACTGAACCTATCCAAACAAATGCTGGGGTGAGGCAGGGACGTATCTTGTCACCTACCTTATTCTTTTTGTATTTATTCCCTATGTCAATTCCATACTCATTTGCATAATAATACTTGGAAATTAATTCCACAGATAATAAACGTCTGAATACAGACACCAGATCATTATGAAGACGGAAAATTCTACAAACATACCAAAAGATCAATAAATGCAATGCATTAAAATGTATAATAGTTTTAATAATATAGATTGATAAACCTGAAGATGATGTCATAAAACATCGAAACATGTCGTTCAAATAAAAGCGCTGAATAATGTAATGTCATACTACGATAAAAGAGCGCCATAAATATACCATAATATATTTTATAATGTTATAATATTTTAACAACATCATTTTAAATAAGTTTGTGTATAGACTGTGAAAATAAATATATGTAATACAGATTGATGTCAGTGGGCTGGTCACTCACTACTACACGTACAACTGGGACCAAGAAACCTCCGAAAAGGAGGCGGCGAAAACCCACAAACAAACATACAGATTGATAGACAAATGTGATAGACCTAATATTTGCATCTGTGAAATATTGTTGCAAATGCACCTAACAATAAGAAATTAAAGTGAGGTTCCACCACATACAGATGTAGTGTAAATGTGTGCTGTTAATAAAATAGAGCATTGTTACATGTACAATAATGAACCAGCAGTATTCTCAGCTCATGTGTAAAGAGCACGTTATTTAAAAAATCTTTAATCTGTTTCCTATAACATGCTGTACTTGGTTATTTCGTAATAACTGTCAAGCTGCATTCCTATTTTGAAGCAGTTCAGATTCAGTGGATGGTCGAGATTTTACTTTCAGATTGACTTGCAAATATTCTTAAACTAATGAAGAGGTGACTTGTTTTCCAGACGCCCTTTGTGAATACAAGAAATGTAATGGTGCTCTTCCAGAGCAAATTGTTATATACAGAGATGGGGTATTCAGGCACCAAATCCCTGAAGTGAAGAATCGTGAGATTGTCGCCTTGAAGAAGTGCTGGAAGGATACATATGGTGAACAGGAATGCAGAATGGCTTTCATTGTTGTAACCAAGAGGATAAGGACCAGGTTGTTCCACAACAATGAAAACCCTCCCCCAGGCACAGTTGCTGATGACTGCATTACTACACCAGAAATGTAAGTATCTCATTGCACGTAAAGGTTAACCTAAGTTTTTGTGGTGCTGAAAGCAGCTTCGTGACCATGAGATTTAAGGTTCTCACAGTAGTAAAGATGTGCATGGTTGTCTTCTGGAATGTGATGCTGTGCGGGCTTGTACATAGGTAACAATATTTCAATATTAAGGGACAAGTCTCACATATTTTATGTCTTTGCTATTGGATTGTAATAATAGTGGAAGGCATTAACATCATCCTCAGAACTATTCAGCAGAAGTAGAAGCATTCAGACTGCTGAATTGCAAAATGTGCCTGTGGGAAGACTGCGTACTCCAGTTCTGTCCCAATCTTGGTTCTGCAATAAACTTGGCATAAAGGAAAATATGCGGATGCAAGATAAATTTTGTCCGTTTTCTTTGGGCAGTCTGGGAGTGTGTGTTTTAAAGGATCGAAGATGTGACAGGAGAATCAAAACACTGCTTTCTTACTTCAGAAATGGCTATGAGATGTTTACATAATATTTCAGAACTTTCATAGATATAAGTTTAGGGTAATCCAGCTTAAATACTAATTGTTGGTCATGCAATCCTCCAATTTCTACTGGCCCTGTAACTAGAGAATCTTTTATCATGGAACCACAATTTGTCTCTGATCCTGTAAGTTTCACGCTGCTTGTTTTGTAATGATTTGCAAAATTTGTGGAAGTGTAGAATATGGCTAAGAAAATTAGAAAACTGCACGTCATTATTCTTTTCTTTCATGCAGATGTGATTTCTTCCTCGTACCTCGGTCGGTTTGCCAGGGCACTGTGAGACCTACAGGTTACGGTGTCCTGTTCAATAAAACAGGTCTGGACATTGTAATGCTCCAGAAAATCACTTACAAGATGGCTCATCTGTATTTCAACCAGAGAGTAAGTATTGCATAAGATCTGGCAGTGAAGGACATTTCAATTAAGTCTCTTCTCCAGTGATAGAATTAATATTAAGCCTAAAAAATTAGCATTTTGTTAAAAAAAAAACCCCCCCCCCCCCCCAAATTTCATATCATAGTTAATGATTGAGATTCATTTGACTCGTTCAAGCTTAATCTAGCATTTTACGGCTTGAAATATTCATCAGAAAGGTGGCAGTAATGTGCATCTTTCTTCTTCCAGTCTTTGTAAAAACAACACTGGGGTCTTGCCTTCTTTCCCGTGTGTAGAATTTTCCTCAGAGAATGTTTTTCCCTGGGGTTGAATATGGACATTGTCAAGTGCATGATGGCCTAACATGAACAGACTGCAGGAAGAATCACTTGGTCAGCAGAACTCTTAAAAACTGGATGGTTCTTGGGTTTTCAAGTGTTAGTTGTATACAATCAATGAATTGACAACGGAAGCAATCACAAGAAATTTGTGCACATTTGATGCCGATCATACCGATGTGATGTAATAAATGAACAATATATTTCCAATATTTCTTATTTTGCATCTTGTAGCCGTGCAAATGCCTTGCTTTGGAATGAATGTCCGACTGTTCCACAGCCTCTTCATGATCAGATTGCATCACTGGTGGTCCACTCATGTTACAGCACTGTCTGAGAATGTTGTTCTGATGCCTCATTTATATTAACCTGTTCAGTTGTCCTTTATAATGTAATTGTAAAGAAATTTGTCTGAATTTTCTCAGCTCCCAGCTGTTTCAGGCAATTGCATATAAAGCATTCTTGTATGCTGAGTCTGTTCTGTGCACATTGACTGTATAAAATGCATGTGGATTGGTCTGCGCCTTCTAATAACTTCTCACCACATAACGGCTTGTAAACAAAATATTTACTTAACATTTGGTCTAATATATACAGATTTGAATGACCACTAAACCAAGATTTAATGTTCAGGTTGTTTGCTGCCCTGTGTCCTGTTCGATAAATTATTTTCGAACTGGAATTTTCAAAAAAGGAAAAGCATATATAATATAAAAATAACTACTCTTGAAAATACTAGGCATCAAGGCACCCTAGTGCCAAGGCTTACACAGACATTTTCTTACGCTATCAAAAGCAGCAATTCTTCATGGTGTGCGTGTGCAACAGTTGAGCAGAAACTAACGTCTAGAATGTCTTTTGGCCCGTAATTACTTGCTGTGCCGCCATCTTCCATGAACCAAGCAGTAACTACCTGAGCGTAGACACCATATAAACTGATGCAGAATAATTATGATTGACCTTGACAACAACAAAGACCTGTTGGGTACAGAAGAATTTTTGCTGCCTGTAAGAAAAGTGAAAGTTTTGAAAATTAGTAACTTAGCATCATAGAATGGTCAGCACAGCTCGTGTGAATGACGATGTCAGGTTTACAGTTGCATTTGTCAATTCATTATCATTGTACTTTGTGATACCCAAATCAGTATCCTTGAATATGATGTATTTGGGTTATTTATGCAGACATTTCAGGAAAAAAAAGTATGATTGGTATTTGGACAAGTGTAATATTTTCGTGTGCACTTTTTAATTTTGTCTCATAAGATTGATATTGTGAGCAACATGAGTTCTGCGTTGTTTCAGGAAACTGTGCGAATGCCTGCTCCTTGTCTGTATGCCCACAAGTTGGCATATCTGGTGGGCAAGTTCCTTCATCAGATTCCAAATGCAGGGAAGAAAAACAACCTCTATTTTCTGTAGCACCCAGAAAGAGATCTGTTACCCACTCATACATCAGGAGGAACCCATGAAAATTTTATAAGAGTTTCCTTTCTAGTCAATATTTGATCTCCTTTATTCCATTACATTCATTTAGTTCACTTACAGCAGATAATACAGTCTGTTCAAGAGTTAATGTTCCTGATAGAAATAAGCAAATATTTTTTGTAATTTTATAAATTTATATTAAACTTGAAGTTTCATAGGTTTTAAAAGTGCATTAAGGAAGTCAGATTTTCCTTTCATTCATTTAGTTAGTTAGTTAGTTAGTTCACTTACAGCAGATAATACAGTGTGTTCAAAGAGTTAATGTTCCTGATAGAAATAAGCAAATATTTTTTGTAATATTATAAATTTATATTAAATTTGAAGTTTCATAGGTTTTAAAAGTGCATTAAGGAAGTCAGATTTTCCTTTCATTCATTTAGTTAGTTAGTTAGTTAGTTCACTTACAGCAGATAATACAGTGTGTTCAAAGAGTTAATGTTCCTGATAGAAATAAGCAAATATTTTTTGTAATATTATAAATTTATATTAAATTTGAAGTTTCATAGGTTTTAAAAGTGCATTAAGGAAGTCAGATTTTCCTTTCATTCATTTAGTTAGTTAGTTAGTTAGTTCACTTACAGCAGATAATACAGTGTGTTCAAAGAGTTAATGTTCCTGATAGAAATAAGCAAATATTTTTTGTAATATTATAAATTTATATTAAATTTGAAGTTTCATAGGTTTTAAAAGTGCATTAAGGAAGTCAGATTTTCCTTTCATTCATTTAGTTAGTTAGTTAGTTAGTT